AACCGACTCCTCCCCAAGAACTGTAAAACCATCCTACTCTCCTGGCAGGTCCGGATCGCCCACGTCACTGAGGGCCACGTCCGGTGCTTTCAGACTCGGGACCGTGGGCGCCAGCGGCAACTTCAGATCCCAGCGGTGCTGCCGCTCGCGCACGCTGCCCAGGTTGAGCCTTTCCAAGTGACGCCGCTCCTGCCAATAACGTGAAGGCTCCGCGGAAGAGGGTGGGAACCAGCTACAAAGTGCCTATGGCCGATATATGAGAGAGAGCTCTGAGTGGCTGCGAAAGGGGTTCAAAGATGTTCAACGTATCTCAAGTGAAGTATCTTGAAACATCTTGAAACTAAAACAGCTAGTCAAGTCGGCTAGTAGTGATTGATTGCTACTCAGTTCCTCTGAAAACAGGTTTGAAAACGGATCGGGCACACCAATTTCTTTGAAGAGGTGCAACAAAAGCCTACCCCCAACGACTCAGAAGATTTCTCCTTGGGCTGTAAATAGCGTGAGTAATTCCCACTCTAAAACAACAAATCATGCTACACCCAGATGCTGCCTTCATCCATCTTCATCCTTCTCTGCCCACCTGGATGCACTGACACCAACAAGTCTGACAGTGACAGCGTTTGCTACCAACACCTGGACTCAACCGACCAGCTTGGCCCTCCTCAGGCGGGGCGGTGGCCAAGTGCTCTTGGACTCTTTGCAGCTCTTTGTCCACGAAGTCCTGCGGAAACGACGCAGAACTGCACTCTCATGGAAGTGACATGAAAGTGGAGTTCACCCCCTGTTGGTACTGGAAAATCCTCTTCCAAGGGGCCATGCCATCCACTTCCATGTTAGTGCCAGGGAGTGGTAAAAACAATACCAACGAAAACATCAAACAACCACTGTTGACTGTTGTTTGCTTCCGAACTTGAAGCAGGACATCAGGTCGACGGCGCCCTGCTCACTCTCCCATTCTCATGGCTCGAACGCTGTCTGCTTGGAACTGAGACAAACATCTCTGACTGAACCCTGGCGGGGTTCATCAGGGTGGAGCATGGCGGGTCTCAACTTAGTTCAAGAAATCGAAACATCCCGATCGGTATGAGGAGACCCCCGCCCGGCCCATGGGTTGTGGTGACTGTTGTGGTCTATTTTCACTCTTCCAGGGGGTTGAGCTGGGAGGTCTCCCACGGTCTCCCTATTGGAATGCACACCCGTATTGCTTTCAACATCGGCTCTGGGAAGGCCAAGTCGGTCTTTTTGGTCAGTGTCTTTGGAGGGAAGGCTTGCCACATGGCTACCTTCAAACATCTTCAAACTACAGCGCCGCTTGACCGCTAACCTGGTTGTGTAGTTGCAGATCCCTGGGCTATTATGACAGGTTCATACACGTAAAAGCAGTGGAGCACTGGTTTCAGCAACAAAACATAATCCACACATCTCCTGCACACTTAGCGAATAACATATAATTTAAAAATAAAAAACACCCTAAAAGTCGAAACAACACAGTAAAACCTGGTCCTCTACCTCCTTGAGTAGTGTTTGTGTATGAGCAAACTCTGAGCAACTCCAGCAAAATGAGGTCAAACTGACCTGTAGGTATTACAAGATTACCAAAGAAACACCTGCGGCATCTGACCCATGCGAGCGCGCGCTGGCGCTATGCGGCGAGCGCTTCGGACCGGCCTTCAAGCACTCACAAGCCTCTGGTCTTAAGACCTCCCTCACCATGGCACAGCCATGAAGCTCCAGGTGTTCGACACCTGAAGAGTCTGTCTGCGAAGAAAGCTCTGCCGGTCCGAAGAGGTCTGAATGAGGTCTTCCATAAAGCAAGTCCTCTTGGGAAGATCTTCAGCTTTTCGACGAAATGTTTGGGGGGCGGAGTTGGCAAGATCCATCCGCCATCCTGTGTATATTGAATGTCTCGTTTGGATCCTGGAATCTGGGCCCTTCACAAGGGTACTGGTTTCGGTCCTAGATGGTTTTTGAGGCGTGCTGAACAAATGCATCCTTAGCTGGATATTAAAATCATTCAAGTCTGGTCTGCATAGATCACAACCAATGGTTGCTGAATTGACTGATCCCCATGAACGAATTGACATCCAAACAACCAGCCGGATGCAAACAGAAGCTGCCAGACGAACACAACACTTAGTGGCAAAATACAATGTTCCAGCGCAATAGGAAACAGATCCATGTTGATGGACTTCCCCCCCCTACGCCAGTTGCCAGAACAACGCACTTCATCCAAGGATGACACGGGACTCTCTCAGTGCGACAAATGGTTCATCAACCCATCATGTTTTCCAGTGCCCCGCACGGAAAAGAGTCGGGGCCGCCAAGAACGATGTAGATCTTTGGATATGGGGTCAAACCGGGGGGGCAAGGACACCATGTCATGTTGCGTGTCTGACTGACGTCTAAAATATTGTCAAATATCCTGGCCATGACCATCCAGCACCCACAACCAGTTGGCTTCCGGAAGAGAGTCTCACACGGGGGTATCTTTGGACCCAGTGATCTTCCGAAACATCATTCCTAAAGGGTGTCACATAAGATTAACTTACAAACTAAGCCCATCACCAATCAGCAAACCCTCAATGCATCATGTATATCCATCGCGAAATACCCGAAGATGGACAAATCAGTTTGACCAATGCGATCAGGACACAAGTGTCGGGCGCCACGGCCACATCTTCGACGCTCATGGGGTCCAATGGTGCCCAGCCGGCCACCTCGAGGTGTTGTTGAACAAATTGGTTGGGTAAACAAGGGGGGTTGTCCGGAAAGCAGCATGCTGAGGGCTAGAAATGGCTAGAAAACCCTGCGTTTTACAGGGTTGTTTGGCTTTCGGACCACTCAACTCATCGTCTTGGAGTTCATGAACTCCAAAACGCTGACTTGAGTTGATTTTCAATACATCATCAGCTGATCCTACGCATCATGCACGTAGGCATCAGCTCAACATCCACATCTTTTGACGCATCAACGCATCATCCCCATCATGTCCGTAATGCATAATGCAACCAAAGTTGATCATCTTGGCCCCACCCCCCACCCGCCCCTCAGCCCGCCGGGAAACAATCACACTTCATGTCCGTAGCGCAGTTCATCCTACGCATCATGTCCGTAACGCATCGGCTCATCCTACGCATCATGCACGCAGCGTATCAGCTCTTCATCCGCATTATCATCATCAGCGAAGTGGATCATCTGCGTCCCATCTGCGTCCCACCAAACCATGTTGGGTCATCGGAAAGGTGGCCTTTCCGGGCAACCCCCCGCGTTGACCCAATATGTTGCAAGCATGATCAGTAATCAGTAAACCAAAAACGAGGTTAGGTGGTTTCTCAACAATGAAGCAAATCACATTGCGGGATGGAATCGGACAGCTGGTACGGGCCAAATCGAGGATTGAAACGTAATCCAAATCATAATGGATTGCATAGTTCATTGCTGACTTTTGCGCCGCGGAGCACCACTTTGGACCCCAGTGAGCACTCCCAACTTACCTGTTTTGTTGGACACGAGTGGGAACTGGGCAGCACATGGGGCGAAGGCTTTGCTGGCTTGGCCACTTCGGTCTACTGCAGTTCGCACCCGTTTTGCGACCTACAGGCACTCAAGTCTAAGTGGATCTATCTTCATGGATATCCAAGTCAAGCATATGCAGTGTGATTTTGGATGGTTATGGATTTAGGATTTGCTCTCCATGCTCCTCCCCTACTTGGGATTCTGTACGACATGCACATGGCCACAACACTCTTCCATGCCCAACCAGAGCCCAAGATGTCCAGAGCTGTTTGGCCATCCAGTACACCTCACCTCTGCCTCGTCGCGCCAACCATCTTGTTGCACGCCCGGAAAGGCAGCTACCTCGCATGAGGGTCCTATATCATCGACCGGGCTGCAAACAATGTTACTGAGCTGCATCGATGCATCTAGGGTTCTTTTCACTCATCGATGCATCAACTAAATCGACCAGAAGCCCGCTCGCGGCCCAAGCCCAAGAGACTGATCACAAGAACCAGGCTGTATAGACTGTATAGATGACCCCAAAAAGGATCGATTTGAAAAAGAACAACGCACACATACGCACACACTCCTAAACCCAAATATGAACAATACGCTTTGGTTCCTTTTTTCAGTCTCTAACTGGAGGGGTTGAGCTCCCATTGGCTGCCAGTTGGCTATGGTCAAGTCAAGGAAGACGATGAACACATGTGAACAACACCATTCCACCATCCAAACATCAAACAATGTCTCCTCTACCCAGCCAGTTCTGGACCCCATGCGCTACAAATCATCCTTCTGCCAGTTTTGCCCACCTGCGCCAGCGCCGCCTTCACCGCCTCCCGTGGCAGCAGCTCCACGTTGGCACCCGCTGGAAGCGACAGGAAGTCCGCCATGGCAGCGCCGTGGATCACACGGGGTGCGCATGCGTTGGTAGATACGGTAGATCTGAGTGCTCCCCATGCATCCCCAAAGTCACTGCAGACTGGATTCATCCGGGATTTGTAAGAACGAACTTGTGCGGATTGTGAGGATAGTTTAAACTGACAGGGCCACTTGTATGCAGCACGGAGTCCTCACCACTGGCCTTTTTCGGTTTAGATCTGCAGTCTGTTGGGCGTAGCATTAAAGGAAATCCTTACTCCCACGAAGTGATCTGCAGTCTCTGCACCGTTCGTTCTCCTGGCACAACCTATATATATATATATAAACCTATAAGGTTTTCTCGGCTGCAAGCCCGTAGAGCTACCGAGTTCATCGTAGAGCTACCGAAGCCGAACAAAGCATGGCCACTCTCAGCTGACCTGGGTGAATCCCGTGTGCCTGCTCATAGAGCTAGCGATTCGCCACTTCGCTTCAAAGCAAAAGTCCCTCCCAACGATTCCCCCAAAAAGGCCCAAACAATATAATATGTCATACTTCAAGAGAAACGACAGAAAACCATCCCGTATCCCATCCAACATCACATCCTCCACCCTTTCTTCTCCCATTTGAAAAGAGCGCACCTGTGGATCCGCCCAGTTGAGGGCTGCTTGGAAGGTCAGCCCAGAGGCGGACGCGTCGTTGGAGGTCTGTGGCCAAAAAAGAAAAGACACACGCATCAAAAAGCTGTAAGCTTGTTTATTCCCTTTTTCTTCGGCCGTTGGAAAATAAAACATACTGTATATAGCGGATGCAGTAGTAGTTAGTTAGGAACACATATTGAACTGACTATATAGTTGACTATAGTTCTGTTTTATTTTCTTATATTGGACTGTATTGTTCTAGGTTAGGTTCTCTTTATCCTGTTTGATATCCGAACATGCAACTATATAGAACAAACCAACACTGGGGACTGGAGGAAAGGATTGCCTGGGAAGAAGTCTGTAGGAGTGGCTACTTGAAATGGCTCATCTTGCTGAGCTATTAGCCATTCACGTAGCAAGTCGGGTGGTGCCAGGAGCAAAACTTGATCAGCGTTCTATTTGACTCTCAAACAACTAACGGCGGCGTATACATATTGCTGGATTATATATCATTGCCAGGGGGCCACCAACAACTTACAAGGTCTTCCAGGCCATCTAAGTACAACATATATATATATATCCTGTTTAAAAGAAAACACCACACACAGTATGCGGGGTTGCCACATAGTCAATCAACACCCTCACAGAAAGGAATGATTAGTCCATGCGAATGATGATTGTAACCAACTTGTCAATAGTAATTAGCTCCCCCAATATGAAAAAGGCTCCTTCAAGGAGGCAAGCGGCCGGAACACGTCAGCCCCGCATACAGGATTTCATGGACATTGCTCTTTGATACACCTAATTCTGCACAGCAAATACAAATCATTGTACTTTTATTTTAAAAAATATTCGATTCTCAACCTAGAAGACAACATCAACCCACCAAAGGGATCCATCTGAGAAGGTGATGTTTTTGGAATGTTTCTCGTTCCAACAGGGAACCAAAGAGACTTCTCGGTCCCACCAGCTGGTGACCATTCCAAACGTCCCAAACGCCGTCAGCAGCTTGGTCCCGCCTGTTGCTCCAAGCCCCAAACGATGAAGACATCCTCAGTTTTGGAGACCATGAGACCGTCCCTGTCGAGGTTTGTTTTTGTTTTGTTCTTCTACGATCCGATTCTTCTTGGAGAGCCTTTCGCAGATTGATGCTCTTCACTGTGCAGTACCCATTTCTTCTTCCACATGGCCACCATGCACTGGATTCGGCTGCGACTAAACCGATCTTTTGGCCAAATATATGATCAACATGAAGCCGTCCTTCATCTAGCGGGGAATCGGCTGCGATTCGGCGACGATGGTTGACAAAACAACCAAAATAGCCTCCATTTGCCCTCGTTAACTCGGATTTGCTTCTTTGAAGAACGAGTGGTTACGAAATAAACACATGGTTCACAAGTCTCAAAATACGTCATCTGAATGGCCTTTCTTTAAACACTCTGAATACACGACTACAAGTAGTGTGTTTATTCAGGAAGCACTAACTAGCAAGGCCAGTAGGGTGGCTTGAATGATGCTAAATGACCTCATCACCTCCCAAGGATTGCAAATCACGACACGAAAACACCCTCTTGCACATCTGTTCTTTCTTCGAGTCTCCCTCCTTCAATCCTTCCGGTCACCGTCCTCAGCGAGCCGTGGCACGGTGGAGGGGACCGCGGTGTCCATGCTCACGTTGCTCGATTGCCCGACGCTGCCAGGCACCGTGAAGGAGCCTCAGGAGCCGCAGCGAGGGGAGTGAGAACAAGAAAGGGCGATCGATGCACAGTGAAAGAATCGAAAGGACCAGAACGGACCACATAAATAGAGAATATAGAACTCAGGATCGTCCGTCTAAATGCACCAAACGCACGAGCTGCACGGCGCGAGAAATGGCGAGACAGTTTGGCTAGTAACTATAGTATATATAATGTATAACTTCAAAAGCCAAACGTAACATTTTTGCAGACCCTGCAGCAAAGATTGTCTACTAGATTCATGGCTTGGAGCGTCCGGGGCAGCTGAAAAGAATCAGATTCTTCCATGTTCTATGTCACTTTTGGGTCAGTCCCGCAGGATAGGTTGGGTAACTTAACTCATATGTATGTGTATATATATACCTAGAATCTGAGTGATGAGTGGCCCCCGTTTTGGAGCCAAAACATGTGTCTTTCCCTATCAAAGCAAAGGTCAACCGAATTCTGGGCTGTTTTATAGTCTGTTGCACTCATTGCCCTCATTAACCATCCCTTCCACACATTTTCTTTGATCAGCTTCGGTCTGCATTGTCTGCTATCCAATCCACAAATACCAAATATCCATTGAGATGTCCATAGATATATAACTCACTCACTGGGACAAAAAAGTCCCCGTCAACATGTGTCAAACCCATTGATCCATATATTGATCCCAGATCTACCAAATTTGCTTCTGGATCACTTCACTCCGTGCGTCGCCACCCGACCATTCGCCTGAGCGTCCCCGACCAAAACGTTGCCAGCCGCTGGGGCGCTTGCAGCGCCGGGCATCGCAATAACCTGAGGGAAGCCAAACGGGTGCTGGCTCAGCCGGGTGCAGGGACTCTTGTGAACCTGGTGCTGAATTCATGTCGAACTGAACTGGGGGATTTCTATATGCAAATCAATATATACACACACATTTATATTGATACTCATATTCACACCTGTAATATATGTGTTAAGTTATTGTGTATTATTATCTATTCATCTATTCGGAGTTTGGCTTGATTCTCGCTTTGGAACTCCTGTCCTTCTTCTGTTTCTTCTTATATGTTAATTTTACTTTTTTTAATGTTGTTGTTCTTGTCGGCTTTATTATTGTCACTGTACCACTCCTTATTATGTTTGTTTAGACATTTTGTTAGTCTTGTCACTATTATTGTCTGTACATATGTTTCCACCCACATATTCTTCTTCTTTTTCTTCCTCCTCCCCTCATCTCTTATAGTTGTCTTGGCTTCTTGCTGTCGTTGCTGTTGAACCACAGGGCGATGAGCAAAGAAACAAGGACAAGGAGTCAAACAAGCAGAGAAAACATAGACATCAACATAAGGACCAACAAACCCAGCGGCACAAGGTTCATTGGGAAACTGGGAAACCTAGAAACACCTCATGCACGATCGCTCCTCCGTGTCTCGGAGGGCGCTGGAGGATGAGAACACACACTGCCTGGAGAATGTGGTGCATGAACTTGGAGGACGAAGTTAACGTGAAGAAGCTGTTCTTGTGAATCCCTCCTGCATGTTACCAGCTGACAACATCCACACTTACTGTCGACCCTTCAGAGTCTTTCCTGACCTCGCGCGGCCGTTGAAACGGTCCAATGAATTTACTGAGATCTACAGCCTGCTGCATTTAAGTGCCAGGCAGGATCCCCTATACGTTTATATATATATATAAGCCACAAACGATGAGCATCATAGGGCTCTCGCAGTCCTGCCTTGTTAGACCAGCTGAAGGTCGTGAGGGCGGGATGAGGGTGGTGAGGGGGGGTGAGGAAGCACTAGGAGTGGTGAAAGGTGAGGGGGTCAGGTTTGAGGATGAGTCAGAGTAGAGATCCCTGTCTGATGTACACCCACCTGACTGTGGCACTGTCCCAGAACCACTAGACAAGGAAACTGCTATAGTTCTTGACATGTTGGACAAAAACCAAATCTCAACCACTATTGTCCAACATCTACTTGTCCATTCCTGTTTTGAACATTGTTTGAGCCACATCACATCCACATAATATACACATCATCATAGTCATATCATGTCATATCATCACCTCTCCCTTTCAACCAGGCCCCGCCCCAGCTTGCTCCAGCTCAGGCACACTGCGCGCGGAAGCACCCGGTGTTCCCGTTCACCGGGCGTTGGGCCACTCGGGAGCTGGAGACCTGGGGAGACTGGAGGCCGGTGAGCACCTGGAGACCTGGGCTTGCGCCCAGTGGGTTCTGCTCCCACTCCAACAGGCCCTCTTGTGCAGTAGGCGAAGCATGCATTGGTGTTTGTTCGGATGGTATGGGGGAGTGAAAGAATTTGGGGACTCTAAAGTGGACTCTTGTGTCAGTCCAAACAAAGCATCCAAAGAGCTCAGTTGCTTGCCGGAGTTCAATCAAACGCCCCCTCCTAGACCTGGGATCTGAAGCAGTCTCTTGTGTCCAAGAGAAAGAAGTCTTCAGCCAGGCAGCAAAGTTTGACATCTTGAACTCCAAGAACGTGTCATGCAACGAGCACATGCAATGAGGTAGTCCGATCCGTCGAACAAGGAATAAAACATCGGGTGGTCGACTCAGTTCTTGCAACTGGTGAAAACCGGAAATCCTTCTCCGAAAACTCGTCCTGGTTCTCTGAAGACTCGGTCCTCCCACCTGTGATTGCAGCAGGTTTTGCCCCAAGTTCCAATCTTCGATGCCGAGCCTTAGGACAGACAAGCAACGGGGACTGGGAAGAAGAAGCAACTGGCTGGTGGCGATTGGGAGAAGGACTGGCTGGTGCCAACATAAGTTCTACAGTGGTTTCAGAGGTTCGATGGCACAGACCCCATGGTGTCCTTGGACACATGGGGGTGATAAACCACCTTTTGGGGTCCGTGCCATCTACTCTCAATCCTCTAGATATGTTTTTGTTAAATGGTGTTGAACTAACACACGAAATGGAGTTGAAATGTGTTATGCCTTATAATTAGACATCATTAGAATGGCTATGATGACTGGTGAGTAGTGATCAGAATCAAATTAACAGACTGAAGTCACCACATCTCCCCCCAACCCAAACGGCAATCTCTCTGAAAAATGCATCATCTGAGACTCCCCTACCAATTGCAGTTTCTGGAAAGCTAATGGCTGTAATGTAATGCAATTATTTGTACAGCCCAAGCTGAGCTGATGGAAATGCGTTTCCTGGAGAAAAATGGACGACCCGACCGACTACCATGACTGACCTACAAATCCTCCACCAGATTGGCATATTCTGCTTCATTCAGGGCCTGTTGGATCACCCTCCCCAAAACCCATTGGTTATCACAGATTTTAAGGACCTTCTGTAGCTGAGGTATTTCGATTTATTTAGACATGCCACCATTTCTAGGCGCACACACTTGCACACACATGCACTTACCACTAGGGCAAGTAGAGTGGGCCCCTCACTGTTTGGAAAAAACCGCAGACTATTGATTAATACACCGGATGATTTTTCAATCCAAATGGGGAGGGTTCACCGGGTTCACTATTGTAGTTGGACAAAAAAATTGAACTGAAGTGTATCTCGATTGTACACCTTCTAACTCATCTAGCAACATCTAACCGAGAACAACGCTTCAGCACGCGGACCCTGCAAATGTGTCTTTATTTCCACCGGAGTTTTGTTCAGTTTCCAGCTACTTTGATTTGTTTCAAGGGACGTTTGTTTCGGTGTGTTTCTACTAAAAACGCCCATCTACCGCTCGCGGCCCCCGGTCTCTCGCCCCATTTTTGTGTGCCCCTATCGCCGCCTCACATCCGTCGGTCTCTATCCGGTCTCTCGCCTTCCGATGTGGCAAAAGTTGCAAAGGCCCCCGGAAACGATCGGTCTTGTGAATTTCGAGGTGGAACAAACCCACCGGGGGCCCAAGCGGATCCTTGGCGTCACTTAACAACGGGTACCTCTGTATGAAAAACCCAAAAAAGTTCGGAAGGGGTCGGATCGGACTGATGGGGGATGATCTCTCTTTTGCGACGTTGCCTTTTAGGGCATGACCTGAGAGCTAGGGCAACTAGGGCTTCTTTGCAGCTTCACCCTGTTTCACCAGAGGTTCACTTTCTGACCTGTCTGGACAATCTCTTTTGTTCCAGCGGACCTGGGACGCCGGGCGGTGGTTCCTGCTGGCTGCTGGCGTTACTCAAGAACTCCATGGTGTACTGCCTCGGCGAAGTTGCGCAGTGCCGGGCTGTTTTGGTCCCACGAAAGAACCACGTGGTCGAGTCCGGTCCAAGTACATGCACACTCGGTCAAAGGGTAGTGCCCTTAAAGCAGGTGAAGGAGTACTCTGGGGTGCAAAAAAGTTCAAACTAGACCCCCTGCAGGCCCGAAAGTTGTAAGCAAAGCTTGCACAAGTCAAGTCTCTGGCAAATGCTACAACTTGGTCAAGTCTCGTGCAAATGCTACAGTTTGGCCAAATCTCCTGCAAGTAGATAAGAAAGGTTCGAGCCAAGTCTCTCGCAAATGCTAAAACTTGGTCAAGTCTCTCGCAAATGCTAAAACTTGGTCAAGCCCCTGAGCATCCGAGATTGAAAAGCACAAATCGCAAGATTTGTTATTTTAAGATAGGTTCTGGGTGGTATTTTGACCAATCGCAGATTGACCTTGAAAACCACTCACAAAAACCTACCTTGAGGCCTTAAAAAACCACTCCCTAAGGTAGTGAAAAACCTATCCCCAAAACCGATCTTTCTATTATTGAATGGTTCCCACAAGCACTCTGCACGGGTATCTCTTTTTCCAAATCTTATTATGTTTGCGGGGTCTGCATGGCTCTGTTTCAAACCTCAAACACGGTCATTGACCCTCAACTGGTACCCAAGAAGGTACTTTTGACAGAAGGAATCTATAAGCTTGGTGGCCCATGGCTGCAGCTATGTGGTAAAGTAGCCATCCAACCCAGCTTTCATTCCCAAAAACCTTGGGTTTTGCCACTTGGCCAAATGGGCCAAGTGATAGAAGAAGTGGAACCTATCTGTGTTAGCCGCCACCTCAAGCCATCCTGCATTTCCTGGCTTGTTCGGATGCGTCCATGGCCCTCATTTGTCAAAAAGCCAGTGAACTGAGGGCCTCTGCAATGCGCAGTGCCATCCATGTTTCCTTGGCTTTGTTCCAAGCCCCTTCCTGCGCCACAGTGCCTGCTGGGTGCTTGGCTTTCTTCCAAGCCACCAACGCAAGGACAGGCACCAAGTGGCTGAGCTCTACAGCCTTACCTTTCAACAATGGCTTTTGCGACCATGGCTTCTCACCACTGACGACCTGATTGATGGTAATGTTCGTGAACCTTTCTCCAATTCTCAAGGTCTTGTAACCTTCAGAGATCTCTCTGACCACACTTGAAACATGTGGTGCGGGCATCTCTTTTGTGGCCACCCACCAGACATTGGTGGGTTGAAGGCTGGCTCTCTTTCAAGCCTTTGGGCGTCAGCAGTTGCCAATTGAAGCCACCTTGAAAGTTCCAAGGAGATTGATTTCTCAAGTGTTTATTGCAAGTGCAAAGCCAACAGAAATCAGACTTGTTCCAATGTGCAAACCCAGCACATTTGCAAAGCATTCTAACTCCTTGGTATTGCCAAACCAAGAACGAATGGCCTCCCTCAATGATTGGCTTACTTGCCATCTTCTGGAACTGAGGTGGCAATGGCTCATTCCATGTGCTGGGATGTGTTCCATGGAACAATTGAAGGCTAAATGGAGGGTGTGTGGAGAAAGGGGGTCAGCAAAAATTGCTTCTACGAAGTTAGTGCATCAAAAATACCTTCCACGAAGTTCTGCGAAGGTTTCTGGGATTTCGTTGCGGTCAGTTCTCCTACTGGCCCACCATTCCATGAACTGTCCACGAATAGCCTTGGGTTCTACGAATGTCCCGCGCCTTCCACGATGTTTGTAGAATAGGTGTTTGCAAAACCCCTTCTGCGCACTACCCTTCCGTTTGCCTCTGAACAATGCTTGGAAACCCCACGCTAGAATTTCATAAACATGTTGCCAGTTGTTTTTTCAATGGCACGCGCTTTGGAAATGCAGCCAAGCAGAAAGCATGGTCCACAACTTGGCTTTATCAAGCCACTTGAAGCATGAGAATAGAGACAAGGGCCAAATGAGAATGTGAGGGGTGAGTCTGTGGAGAACTCAACCCCATCACGATGCAGCCACAAAGGGGTCATGTGCTTCTCTGCATTTCTGGCTTTGTCTAAATCGATTGGGCTGCCAATGAGCCTGGGTCATCTGGCTGCACACCTTCACCTGCCAAATTGGTGGACCTTGTCAACCCAAACAAGTAAGGAGGCAGGGCAGTAGCTGTCAAAGACAGAAGCTACCCAGAGATGTGGGAGGCAAACATTGAAGTCAACTATGGTTTCAGGCTGACCTTTTATTGAACCTAAGGCAGGAACCTTGATTCTAAAAGATGGGCTCTCTTTCAAGCCACCCAATCTCCCTGATTGATGTTTTTGGTTAGAAGCCTGCGCAGCGGTGCCAAGGCTAGCCAGCTCCTGCAACTCTTCTGCTTCCACACCATCATTCACTGCTGCGTGTGCAAT